AAGTTAGGCCTTCTGTCCTGTTCCTGTTGGCTGTGCCCTAACTGGGGAGATTTTTCCTCACTTCTTACCCTGAAATACAAAAAAAAAAAAACTTTTTAAAATGTTCTTTGTCCACTTTGAAGAGATTTCTTAAAGTGTTTCTAAAGGCTCAAGGTTTTTTTTTACCTCCATGCATTCTATGTATGAAGGTAAAAAACTGTGTGTGCAGCATCCATCCCTAATACTCATCTAAACCCTCTCTCGATCCAGCGACATGCAATGAGGACTCAGCTATCCCAGGACTCCCTCTTCTCATTGGCTGAGACAGAAGCAGTAGCCATTGGCTCCCACTGGTCAATCACATCCAGTGAGCCAATGGGAAGAGAAAGGGGGTGGCTCCATGTGTGAATGGATACATGGAGCAGAGGGTGCCCCCATGGTAAGCTGCTTGCTGTGGGGCACCTGACAGGAGGGAGGGGCAAGGAGTGGGTGAGGGACCTAAGAAAAGGAGGATCCGGGCTGCTCTTCCTTAAAAAAAAAACAAAAAACCTTTAGAAATCACTTTAATAGTTCTTGTCCCTCAGACCCCATGATAAGAAATTATTTAAATCTCCTGAATGGGGACAAAGACCATAATAAAAAACCTTTCCCTTCTATCTAAATCAAAAAGTTTTTATGGGGTTGTAAGTAGTATCCACAAATGTTTTTCGATCCACAGGATCTATAGGGAATACATATATGTCTTAAAAGCCATATTCAAGCCCTGGCCAATAACATGACTCATGATTTGTTTCTAGCAGCTGGTTGGAAACTAAGAGCAGGGTGGTCATATTGGGGAGAAAGGTTGTCATTGGAAATTTGCACTATCTACCATTTTTATAATTTTACAGTAAAGGAAGAAGTAAAATTTTTTTTAATAAACTGGAATTTAAATGTTATATTTTGCAGCAAATGAAAGATAACTGACATCTTACAAACCAGTTTATTAGACTGTATTGAGTCTAATAGGTGAGTAGCAGATATGTTCTGGACTAGCATGACTAGTTTTATTGCAAGCGCTCTCATTTTGGGAGGAATGGAACATCTAGCCTTTTTTTTTTTTACCTTAACGCATTCTCTTCATTAATGTAAAAAAACCTTTCAATGTCATCTACCCCCTAGCCCCCCCCCCTTAAATACTTACCTGAGCATGGTTACAATCCAGCACTGTGCATGATCTTCTCTCCCCTTTCTCACAGGAGGCTTGACAGCAGCGGAAGCCATTGACTCCTGTTGCTGTCAATCAAATCCTGTGAGCAGAGAGTGAGGGGCAGGGTTGAGACGAATTGTGTGTGTCAATAGAGCCCACAGGAGTGCCCCAATAGCAAATGGCTTGCTATAGGGGAGAAAAGAAGAAGCCAAGACTGCCAGAGGGGGACCCCACAAAACCACTGCACAAAGCAGGTAAGCATTATTTTAGAAAAAAAAATAACCTTTACATCACTTTATTAATTCCAACAGCCAACACAATCTAGATTAAAAGTGCAACATTACTGCTCCAGCATGTTAAGCTGAAATATATAGAACAGGTATGTGACTGTACTACTTTGTCAAACAACTTTAATCACAATTCATAATTGACAAGTTTTCACAACTGTTAAAAAAAAAACAGACAAAAACTCACTAGTAGATTAAGTGGTTGTTAAATTTATCATTTACAAATAACTTTATAGATCTATTAAAATAGGCATATTTTGTCATCTTTTCTTCCATACATTTCTTATTTTTTAATAATTCTGCATTATACACAGTCTAAAACATTTACCTACATGTTAAGGGGTTGAGCCGTACGTAATATTGCAATTATGACATCAAAGCCTTCAATTGTGGTAGATTTAGTAAAAGGGAAAGATGGACAGATGCCAAAAAGTATGAAAGGAAGTGGAGCAGGGATGTGAATTATTGCACAACTTCTGGTTTAGAACCCATATCCGCTTTTTACATTTAATAACATACTTTAATGAACCACAACTGTCAACAACCTGTGACTCTGCAGTGCTGATCTAAATCCCCAGCATGTTTGAGAATTTTTAAGGTCTTAGTTTAATGGTATTATTCTGTCTTTTTTTTTTTTTTACATTTTCATCTTAAAAATCTGTAGTTCTTAAAAAAAAAAAATAGCAATCTTTAAAAATGAATACGTTGTATGAAAGACAACGGAAAGGTGATACCAACACTAACTATGTGCTACCTTTCATTTTCTTAGCTACAAAAATGGACTGGCTGCACTGGGCAGAATGACACATCCTTTTTTTCTGCAGCTTTTTCCTTAACTCCAATTTGTTGTTGCCAATGCTGATACTAGCAGCCCGGGAGGCTAATGTGGGTCATTTTCCAAAGGAACTACAAAGAGCAGCAGTGCCAAGCAGTTTACAGTAACAAATGGCAATTAGGCTTCTGTATAGATCAGTCAGAATGAGAGATGAATGGTTACTATAGGTAACTGCTCTTTGCCAGGGCAAGCTGAATTCCAAGAGCTGAATAGCCAAGTGTGCCTAATATTACTGTTGCTGCCAAACATTTGAAACTTTTTGTGTTTAAGCCAGCTGAAGAGTATGTTGCTGTCTTTAACCCAAGTTGAATAGACAGCCTCCAAAATTCTATATTTCAATTCATCTGCCTCTGTGCTTCGCCTTAATAAATAAGCCCAGTGGAGTAACCATGGATCATGATGGGTAGTTTAGCTAACCAGTTGGAGAGCCTCAGATTGTCAATTACAATTAAAGAATCATATTTGCAATAGTCTTGGAAGTTTTAACGTAAAGACAATCATTTTCAAAGACGAAAAAAACAAAAACAAAACACAATTGTGCTATGGAGCCCTTTAACCTTATACAGAGCTATCCTGCTTAAATAAAGTGATGCATGTACAATAGGATTGATGTAGTTTTTGTTATTGTACCCCTTGACTGGAACAAAATAAGACCACTGAAAGCAAATTCATGTTTCAATAAAGTAAAACATAATTATGTATTTCACAATTACTCACAAGACACTTTCTTTCCTAAAAGTGACATAAATTAATTGGGAGCTCAATGGAAAACTCTGGAACAATGAAAATAGAAGGACAGGGGGCTTCTGTTAATACAATATATACACAATGCACCTGAGGAATGAGCTCCTTCATCACACAGGTGTGAGAATCTTAGCGTTTGCTTGTTATAGGACTACTAGCTCACAATATTAAGGGACGCCTAGAGTAAGCTACAAGGGGGTTCAAATTGTCTGCAAAAACAGGTAGTGGAGCTTGATCCAGAAGTGAGCTATCCATCAGGACCGAAGCACTGAGGCCTCCCGTTTATCGCTTAAGTCCAAAACTGAAAGAAAAACGTGCATTAGGTAACAAATGACAAAAATGTGTAAACATATCTATCTTTGAATATTGCAATGTAAGAATACAGTTGCTAACTTTCACTAAACAGCATCACATGAAGAGCACCTATACTATATGAATTCTGTAAGGGCAGAGGGTAGGAGAGGAGGGGAATATCACAGTAATTCCAATAGCTGTTTTAGTTTATAAGGGCTGTGTCAACAGGCTTTTGCTCACATCAGATCGAATTTGCTTTCCTATACAAGTCTAAGGAAATGCAAAACCCGTTTATAGCAGGTCCAGGTCATCAAATGCACTTGTTAATGAATTCTGAATGGTCTCAGCATCTCAAACTGATCTTGGGGATCAGAGGATCCTATTGCATCATCAATCACATGACTTCACCATGGGGTGACTGATGCAACGCGTTGCGCAGAACCAGGTGATGTCAGACCAGGAACTGGAAGTTTAGTGTTGGAGCACAGTCGTTGGGTATCGGTGTGTTTTAACTTGACTGATGCTTATTTTATTGCCTACATTTGTTTTTTCTACACATGAGCGCAATATTTTTGATCTGAATAAAGTGGATGGTTGGTTTTAATTAGTACATTATGGCAATCTTAAACTTTTAATTTTTTTTAGCATACTTCAGCTGCAAGTTGTATTGGGGAGCTGAAGAGTTTATCAGTTTATCTAGGCCCTTAGGGCAACACACATCCTTTACGGAAGTGGACATCAAGGTTCTGAGTGTGAAGAGGACCTCAGGCTCAATATTTCCCCATTATAAGGGCAGCAGATCTATGATCTCATATAGGTCCATCTGATAAGGTGAGGGCATATGTGTCACGAATGGTAAATCGCTTTGGGGTCATGGAGTGTTGTTAGAGCACTGGAGTGTGGGGATTAACTTCCACATGTATATTGAAAAGTACAGATTGGAAAATAAAAAGAACACTTATACATGGATTTATTGACTTTGTCTTACTTGAGCCACTTTTAATTCTTATATGGTTTCTTTATTTTCACAATAAAAGTTTTTTAGTTTTTGGGGCAGTGCAGCAGTACTATAAATGTAGATATATAATTTTATAATGTATGAACACACATCCGGTGCCAGCAGCAGCCACATTGATTGAACAAGGTGTTTTTCAGTATTTTTGATTTGGAATTTTTTTTATGTTAGGAGTTTGGAGAATAATTATATAGTTTGAGGCACACTTGCTGGCAATGCATGAGCACTCTATTGATTAGTTTGATTTAGATACCCACAGATGGCAGCCATAATGAAAAATGTATGAAGCTCAAAGACAGAATGTGTATAAGCTATGTATTCAAGGGAGTGACAACAGTCACAGGTGGGATTTTCTCACTTTCAGGGAAATTTACTATCACTTGCTGTCACATCTCCAGGACAGGAAGTGAGGGTAATCTTCCCAATAAGAAAAGAGCAGAGAGCAACGGAACCCTGACAGAAAAAAAAATGTTACTGGTCCCTGGCACATCAAACTGAACGTGCATTTTCTCAACTATTAAAATGACGACCAACTTTGTACAACAAGCCACAGATATATTTTAAGATCCAAATTATACACACATAAAATGCCTATTCAGTTAAGAAAAAACCTCCAAAAATATATTAGAATGACTCACTGAACTCAATGCATTGGTCCTAATCATCCGCTGCCACCATTCCTTTCACTGGGTCCTTCTCTCTCATCTAAGGATAAAACAGACACATATTAGTCCAGTTTCAAATGATCATAAACAGAATGATTATTAATCATAATTGATGTAAATTCATGTCCAAGTGCTCTCTCTATGGGTGATATCACTCACAACTGACTTGTCGATCACTGATGGAGGGAGAAGGTTGCCAGAGTCTAGGTGTAATTTAAGGGGTGTCATATGTATTTGCTAGTTTTTATCTGGAGTCTCTATTGGCAACCTTTGAATATTCAATGTACAGCACAGTGTACCACGTTGAAAAAATAACCTGACATGATGGCTGCCACATTCACGATGAGGTCACACACTGATGTCATTGTGCACGTGGCGGCCATCTTGTCGGTTGGAAACATTGGTTGGATACAGCATTGCGTTATGTTGTGCCTTTGTACTAGTTTTTAAATGTGAGTTTATCTTTTGGAATAAATTCTTTTGCTATCAATTCAATACACTATGAGATGACTTTTTTCCCTTCGATCTATGCATTCTGGAATATCGTTATCTATTCGGCTGAAGCTGATTTATCTACTAAGAGTGGTTCCACTGTGAACAAAGTTGGAAGTTCTGCTGTTATGACCTATGGTATTTTCACTGCCATGCTGACTGTTCCTGATGGGTGGTCAACCCATTTGGTAAGAGGCAGTAAATTTGGTGTGGCGGTGGAGGTTTTTCCCCGTTGACTATACTCTTGTGAATACCATTTTTCTAATTTCACCTATTGGGGACTCTCAAGGACCATTGGTTTTTCATTTCATCTGCACCATCTGACTGGGCTGATATTGATAACATGATGGACAAGTTCCACTGTTCATTTTTTATCCTACAGTTAGCGCTGCACTGTTATTTTATATTTTGATCATATTGTACCTGCGATATCGTGCTAGCTGCTTTCTTTTGTTATATTGGTGCCCTAGTGTGATTATTTATATATCTATATTGCATATGTTGTAAGGATTTTAACAAACTTTTACTGCAGATTCTTACTTTTGTTATTCTGAAGTAAAAGCGGTTTATCTGTGTCCATGTGCAGAGTGAATCTAATGGGAGTGATTTCATAATTATCAATTAGTTGCTGTACCTGCAAGTATATTTTTGTTGCAGGGGAAGCTCAAGTTTTGATTAGTATCTTAGTGCAGACTTCGGGAAAAATCAGCAAGCCTATCATACTACAAGGAAATTACACATCAACTGTGTACAGAATGTCTCCAGGTTGCCATATTGCACTGCATTTTACAAAAAATTACAGAGCTGAAGATTGAAAAAGAAAGGTAATATTTAATACCATTCAATTACAATATAATTTGTGTTGCAGTTGTATATGCTATATTATTTTTTTATTTCTGATTTTTTTCCCCAAAAAAGTGGAGTTACCCTTTAAGCATAATCAAAGTTTCTAGATGTTCCTTAGAAAGAAAGGAGGCTCTTTTCAAGTTTCTTAAAAAGTATGTAAACCTCAGCAATTAATGTATCTTATTTGATCTCTTTTACTCTGTTAAAATACCATTGAAAGCACTTTTTTATATTTGGTATCTACAAGGAAAGTCTAGGATGATGACACTGTTCCTTCATAGATATTTGGCTCTGTGGGTGAGTGTGGTCACTGCAGGACAGGATGCATGTTAATGGCTAGATCAACAGCTGAAAATAAACAGAAAAAGGGCCTCAAAAAAGAAAACTAATGCAGCTACCACATTTCATTATGGTAAGCTGCAATATATGACATCTTTGTTCTTTGATTTAGTGTCACTTTAAAATCCTACTATAAAGTGGTTTTTGAAGGGGAAGCATACAAAAAAAAGTGGAGCTTAATTTAATGTGTTACTAAACCCACAAACAGAAAAATTAGTCTGTATACGCAATAAAGCATGCTTGTTATACTCACTGTAGAATCTAAGGGGTTAATCCTCTGCATGGTGTAAAAAGGCTGTTTGATCCTGACTTCTCCGCCCCTCCTCTTGTTCAAATGTGCATGCTGATAAGACAGACTGAACCTGTAGCCCTTCTGCACATGCTCAGTTTAGTTTGTATTGCTAGAGAGGTTTTATTTTTTTTTTTTATCTTGGGAGAGTGCATGTGATCAGCACAGGGCCAACCAGCACTGTCCAGACAGAGGTCAGGGGTTTTGCATCCTCCTAGAGCAGAAAGAACACTCCCCCTACAAGCTCTAACCAGTGCTCAGCTGAAGTCACAAGACTGCTGTAACTGCTGATGAGAAAAGGTATTTCGCAGTTTATATTTACTAAAATAATTGCACTTCCATGTTCATTGTACTGTGAGAGACCAGATACAGTGAATGCAGGATCCTGGGTTTAGTAACATTTTAACCTCATCCCCGCCACCTTATAGCAGATACACTGCTACAGGGCGGCAGGGTTGCGCAAAATCATGTATATATACGTGATATTGCATTACCGGGTAGGGGTGAGCCGCGCTCACCCTACCCGCACCACCATTTGTGGCCACTGCTGTCAATCACCGGGTTCTGGTCGGTGATTACCCGCCGGCGCCCAGTGATTACCGAGTATCTCCGACAAGGAGGAGAGCTGCTTTATTTACAAGCAGTTCTGCTGCCTGACGGCTCAGGCAAACTGCTTTGGATGGCTGGCCATCCAGAGCAGTGTGATTACAGTAAACACCCCCCCCCCCCCCCCCCAGTAAAACACTCCCAGCACACAGTTAAACGTTTGATCGCCCCTCATGTTAACCCCTTCCTGTCCAGTGCCATTAGTACAGTGCCAGTGCTTTTTTTTTTTTTTTAGCACTGATCACTGTATTGGTGTCACTGGGGATGTCAGTGACACCAAGTCAGTTCCCCCCAGGGTCAAAATGCTCGCTGCAGTCCCACTATAAGTCGCTGATTATTAAAAAAAAAAAGTAAGGCAAGGGAACCAGAAGACAGACTCAGTATGCATTAAATAGTTAGAGATATAAGATCAATGATTAGCTGATACAAACCTCATCAAGTTCTTTCTTTGTTTCATCCTCCATCCTGCGAATATCCTCCATTGTTAGTTCCACCCACTTGTCCAGCCAGCAGAAAAGCTGTCGATGGAAGTTTGTAAACAGCCGCCTCTCTTGCTAGCAATGATAAGAAACATTAAAAAACATCAGCATAGAGAAACGAGAAATCACAAAAACTAAACATAGATTAAAATTACAAAAATAAACCCTTGCAGGAACAAGTTTTGGTTAACCACTTCCCGTCCTTTGGCCATTTATAAAGTGATTATACGAGGATCATGACTGCAGCTACATTAACAATTCTAGTATTGTATTTTTCAGCCAGCAATTCTCTTTTAGGTAAAAGTGATCCGAGTGGCTATACAGCCACTGGATCACTTTTACAGGCAACGGAAGGAGGTCGTCCCCTCTGCCCCCATCAGGAGCCCAGTAAGGAGACAACTGGCGGCATCAGTTTCCCCGAACACAGGGAGAGGAACTGTGTGACATCAGAAACCAGAAGCGATAAGGATTTTGTCACTTCCTGCTTTGGTCTGATGTAAACAAGCCATTACTGGCTTGTGAAAGCTTCTGATTAAACCGATCTAGGTTTGATCAGATGCTCTGGAGGGCAGAGGAGAGACCCCAAATCTCTTTATAAAGATGCTATCACACAGGATGTTGTTCATCCCTTGTGATAGAAATAAAGTTGATACAAAAAAAATTATGATATGGTGTAAAAAAAAGAAATACTACTAAACGCATGTAGGTCCTGCAGACACATAAACAGTGATTGCACTACACTGGAGGTATTGTGCAAACATCAGAACAAGAGCAATAATTATAGCTCCAGACCTCCTGTGTAATCTTAAACTGGTGACCTGCAAAGGCTTTTAGAGTGTAACCTATGGAGATTTTTAGGTACCACAGTTTTGCGCCGTTCCATGGGCATATTTATTTTTAAAGTGCGACATAGTAGGTATATATTTACTCAGCGTAACTTCCTCTTTTATGTTTTATGTTTTACCAAAAAATGTTGTATTTTATTTTGTTTGTTTCACTAAAACTCATTAAAATGTATTTTGTCCTATAAGTTTGCATTTGATAAACTGCTGCACAAATATTGAGCAACATATAAAATTGCAATAACCCCCTATTTATGGCACGGATAGGCGGCACTGATAGGCAGCACTAATGAGGTGTCACGGATAGGCGGCACTGATAGGTGACACTGACTGGCATCACTGCTGGGCACTGACTGGCGTCACTGCTGGGCATTGACTGGCACAAGCACTGGGCACTGACTGGTGGCACTGACTAGCAGCACTGCTGGGCTGAACTGATGGGCACAGGTGGGTGGCACTGCTGGGCACAGGTAGGTGGCATTTCTGAGCACAGGTGTGCGGCACTGCTGGGTGGCACAGGTGGGTGCACTGCTGGGCACAGGAGGGTACACTGCTGGGCACAGGTGGGCAGAACTGGTGGGTGGCACTGCTGGGCACCGATCATTGGGGCACTGATCATCAGTGCCCCGATGATCGGTGCCAATCCCTGCTCTGATAACTGCTGGTTCTCGGCAGTACTTTCCTCACGCTCTGACAGCGTGAGGAAAGTGCAGCCGAGAACCGGCAATTGCATTTCCCAGTGATCAGCGTGTCATTGGACACAGCAATCACGGAGATCGCCGGGGGCGCGCAGGAGAGCGCGTTCTGGGAGGACGTCATATGACGCCCTCGCAGAACTGGCCGGCCGCAGTGTAGCCATCATTCGGCTATCTGCGGTCGGCATATGGTTAATCCACCCCTATATCTTCTCTGAGGGGGCTAGTTAAAACCACCTTGGGAAAAAAGGAGGGTCTTGGGCTCAGGAAAAGTTTGTTCTTGTGAAGAATAAGGTTCCTTACAAGAGAACTGATAACTCAGAGATTCATCTAACAGAAGTGATAGCCACTAAGAAGAAGCCTATCTTTTTAGGAGAGATTATACAAAGAGTTCCCTGATGGGTTCAAAGGGTGGTTTCTGCAGGGCAGAGAACCTAATTGAGGCCCTGAGTAAGAACAGGGTGCTATAAGGGTGATGTGATCCAAGAAACACCCTGAATAAAAGTATTTACAAAGGAAGGCGATGTCAGTGCTTTTTTTTTGGAAAAGAATAGAAAAGACAGAAACCTGTTGTGACGGAGGAAAGGCAGGACAGAACACACAGAGGATGGCAGATGCACAAAGCTTTATTGAGACAAACAGATGGCAGTCCTTCAATACGTTGGGTGGCAGAGAGGGTGGATTTGCCACTAAATGGTAACGAGGGTCCCCACCCACTTATAGTCCACTAGGAGAGCCAAGGGGGTGTCCCTGTAACAGGGGTAGTCCGACACAGGAGAGGGGTGCCTGGAGTCACCACCGTAACAGTTCAGGTAACAGTGGGGAAGCAGGTACTCACGGAGAACAAGGGGTTCAGTCCAGGCAGGTTCACGGAGAACAAGGGGTTCAGTCCAGGCAGATTCACGGAGAACAAGGGGTTCAGTCCAGGCAGGGGATAGATCCAGGCAGATTCACGGGGACAGCAGCAGATCCCTCCACAGTGCAGGGATTCCAGGCAACACAGACAGTCCAGGAGATGAGGAGGAGGACGGGGGATGAGAGGAGCTGGCGCTCAGCACAGCCTTACCTCACACACACAGCCAGGAGAACACCCACGGGGGTTTCTTGCTCTCTGTTAAGTATTGAGCTGGTAACTAGATACTTCCTGTCGGGTTACCATGGCAATGGGTCCTGTCCAGAGAGTTCAGGAATTTGGCATGAGGGGGAAGGGAGGAGGGGTCCAGAGAAATTTAATTAGGCCATTAGGCCAGTGACACAGGGGACAATTGGAACAATACAGAGCAGGACTCTGAGGGCATGTGATACAAGGCATTAATAAGGGGATTAATAATTGGCAGGCTCCCATACCGCGACACTCCTCCCCCCTCCTTTTCACAAGTGCCGATAAGGGGGACCCAACCGGGTTCCCTGGAAGGCACTTGTGGGGCCTAGCCTAGCTACTGTGGGTCTTGTTGGCGGGAAAGGCCATCAGCGTTTTGGTGCTGGCTTCCCCGCCTGTAACGAATGGTAAAGTTGTAGGGCTGGAGGGCCAGGCTCCACCTAAGGAGGCGCCCATTATCCCCGGACACCCGGTTCAGCCATGTGAGGGGGTTGTGGTCGGTGACGATGGTGAACTCCCGGCCGTACAGGTAGGGCTATAGTTTCTTTAGGGCCCAGACTATGGCCAGACACTCCTCCACTGTAGCATAGGCAACTTCCCGGTCTAGTAGTTTGCGGCTGAGGAAGGCAACGGGTTGTTCTTCCCCAGCCTCATTGACTTGGCTGAGGACAGCCCCTAGGCCGTAGGTGGAGGCATCTGTCTGTACGAGGAAGCGTCTGTTGTGGTCAGGGGCGGCCAGGACGGGGTTTCTTGCCAGGGCGGATTTGAGGTCACAGAAGGCGGAATCACAGGCCGAGGTCCAGGTCACCATCCGGGGACTGTTCTTCCGGGTCAGGTCGGTCAGGGGCTGGGCCATGGAGCTGAAATTAGGTACAAATTTACGGTAATAGCCGGCAGTGCCGAGGAATGCCATCACTTGCTTCTTGGTCTGGGGAGTGGGCCAGTCATAAATGGCCTGAACCTTGGCTGGCTCAGGTTTCAGTGTCCCCCCCCCCCCCCCACTCGGTGCCCGAGGTACTGTACCTCCGCCATTCCCAACTGGCACTTGTCTGGTCTCAGTGTCAGCCCGGCCCTACAGATGCGGTCTAGGATGGCCCCCACGTGGGCCAGATGCTCCTCCCACGAGTCGCTAAAGATCGCTATGTCATCTAGGTAAGCGCACGCGAACTCTTGGCATCCCTCCAGTAGCTGGTCCACGACCCGCTGAAAGGTGGCGGGGGCGTTTTTCATGCCGAAGATCTATCCCACTGCTGCCACCAGTATGTGACGGAGGAAAGGCAGGACAGAAAACAGAGAGGATGGCAGATGCACAAAGCTTTATTGAGACAAACAGATGGCAGTCCTTCAATACGTTGGGTGGCAGAGAGGGTGGATTTGCCACTAAATGGTAACGAGGGTCCCCACCCACTTATAGTCCACTAGGAGAGCCAAGGGGGTGTCCCTGTAACAGGGGTAGTCCGACACAGGAGAGGGGTGCCTGGAGTCACCACCGTAACAGTTCAGGTAACAGTGGGGAAGCAGGTACTCACGGAGAACAAGGGGTTCAGTCCAGGCAGGTTCACGGAGAACAAGGGGTTCAGTCCAGGCAGGTTCACGGAGAACAAGGGGTTCAGTCCAGGCAGGTTCACGGAGAACAAGGGGTTCAGTCCAGGCAGGGGATAGATCCAGGCAGATTCACGGGGACAGCAGCAGATCCCTCCACAGTGCAGGGATTCCAGGCAACACAGACAGTCCAGGAGATGAGGAGGAGGACGGGGGATGAGAGGAGCTGGCGCTCAGCACAGCCTTACCTCACACACACAGCCAGGAGAACACCCACGGGGGTTTCTTGCTCTCTCTTAAGTATTGAGCTAGTAACTAGATACTTCCTGTCGGGTTACCATGGCAATGGGTCCTGTCCAGAGAGTTCAGGAATTTGGCATGAGGGGGAAGGGAGGAGGGGTCCAGAGTAATTTAATTAGGCCATTAGGCCAGTGACACAGGGGACAATTGGAACAATACAGAGCAGGACTCTGAGGGCATGTGATACAAGGCATTAATAAGGGGATTAATAATTGGCAGGCTCCCATACCGCGACACTTGTCCTTGAGAATACTTAAGGCAATTTTCTTAAAGGCCAGAATGGGAGGAGCAGAGTAATCTCTGGGATTTAAATGCCTGTGTTCACACCAGGCAAAAAAGGATTTAGGGGTACACTATTAGAGGTTTCTGGAAGTGGCTTTCCTTGCTTATAGCAATGAGACCAGAGACTAAAAGACCACTTTGTCCCTCAAGTTAAAGCCAGTGACTGATGAGCAGGATGGAACAAGGGGCCCTGGGACAGCAGGTCTGGCCTGTTTGGAAGGGGCCAAGGGTCGTCTCTTAGACGTCTGAGTATGTTTGTGCACCAGGTTCTTCTGGACCCGTTTTGTGCAGTGAGAATCGCCGGTTTCTTCACTT